ATTAGGGCTGCTCAAGACGGAAAATTTGATAAGACTGGTACATATTTTGCAGTTAAAAGTGAGATAGGAATAATAGTATTTAAATTCATGAGCAAAGTTATTATTGAAAAATTTATTCTAAACTTTGAAAAGGCTGGCAACTAATTCTTAACAATTAGTTTAAGAATTTTGGGATAGTGGATTTTTCTGGAATCTCAAAGGAGCAGAAAAATTGAATAAATTATCTTCTTATATTTCTAAATAACAATCTGTCATAGAATTCACTTTTTCAGATAATTGCAAATACGCCATAGCGCATAGTAAGTTCTAAATATTTGAAGTAGATTCTAAAATGAAATTGAAGGAAATAAAGTCTAAGTAATGCTTAGGATGTAAGATTCTTAATTTTAGCTTATCACATTGTTTAAACATGATTGCAATATAATATGATGAGTAAGAATTATTTATATTTTGTCTTATGTAAATGGAAATCATCAAAAAAATTGAATGCAATGATAAAATAGGATTATTCTGTTTCTCTTTAAATGATGAACTTTTTATATTATTATGTAAGTCATAATATTTAGTTTATCAAGTAGCTAAAAATTCAATTAATTAAATACAAAAGTAGAGTTTACTGTGGATTAGATGTTTACTTATATATTTCCATTCTAAGCAAATAAATTTATCTTTATGGAACAAAATTATATTCAAGTTTTTGAGAATTTAGAAGTAGTTAAAAAACTTCCAAATTAAGTTTATCAAGTAGATGCTTTTTGTACAAAAGTTAAATTATTAGCATTTGCAGGATACAGACAAAAAATCATTAATATATATTAATTAAATAGTTCAACTGAGATTAAGAAATTAGCTACTTTAAATAATATTGGAGTAATTGAAAAATATTATAATCATTTTAATTCAGCAATTTAGTTTTCTTAAAATGGTTAATTCTTAATATCACTTGGGGATGACAAAGTCATTAAATTATGGGACATCAAAAATACAAAATCAATTCGATTACTATGTTTGTAAAATATTATTTCTGTAAATGCTTTCAAAATTTTATAAGATCAATAATGTCGAATAGCATCGATTGATAATAATAATTAAATTCATTTTGAAAATTATGATTCTAGTATTCTACTTGCCACTTAAAAAGAATTTCCTAAAATTGATTGTTGTGAAATCTTATAAATAGCCTCACCTGATGGAAAATAT